TTGTGATTGGAATGATTTTTGGTTATTTGGGGAGGTTTTCTCACTTGATTGTGTTCAACCTCTCAATGAAAGCACCAAATGATGGATAGTCTACCCGGGGGGTATTTTATCCGGGGGGTATTTTATCCGGGGGGTTATTGCGGGAATAACTTAGAGAGAAGTCAGAGTAAATAGGAGGAGACAGAGTCGATTTTATTAAATGAACTCAGCCTGTCTTTACAAGGTGAATAAGGGCTGCTATTTATAGCAGCAATAAATGCGATGAGAGTACACGTGTCAGTAATCCGACGGTCGAGGGGTCACATCAGCCGGGTGGCACCGGCAGTGGTACGTTCACCGCATTGAATGCGGTTGGCGGATGCGACGTGGCATTAAATGCGGTGGTTGGCTGTCTCCAAAAGGAATCTTCGATGATTGAGCATGTTTAGCCGAAGGCTCCTCATGTAGCCGAGGGTTCCATGTGACAAGGACCCCTGTGTAGCCGAAGGCCCCGTGTGACCGAAGGCTTTGTTCAGCCGAAGGCTTCTCTGATGTCGAGGGCTCGACAAATGCCGAAAGCTCATGTTTTTGCCGATTTCTCCCAGTAGCCTCATATGTGAGATAGGGCTACTTCGTGAGTTTCTGGAGCCTTCGGCCAAGGAGGCCGAAGGCACCCCAGTGCGTATTCTGGGCTACTTTGAGGCTTGGGCCGTTGTATTTGGGCCTGAGTCGTTTCCTGAGCTCAATGGACTTGTGTAGGAGAAGTAGGAGTCTATGGGCCGGGGGTTCCTGGGCCATATACTCCATCAAGGATAGTTTGGATAAGGGGGGATTTGACTTTGCACGCTACTTTTTTTTGTTGATGTTATACTTTGCACCCATTTTAAAAAAAATTTGATTTTGCGCCCCATTTCACTTCAAAATCCTTTGACTTTGCACTCCATTTAGAAATTTTCCTTCACAAATGTTACATGATAGGGTGCAAAGTCAAAGGTCTTTTAAAATGGGGTGCAAAGTCCAATATCACCTGAAAAGTGGGGTGCAAAATCAAATTCTCTCTTATTGGTGTACACAAAAATGTGTACACCTTTTGTACATTCGTCTGTCTCATGCACAAAGAATTGTCTATCCACAAACAACTCTACATAATTGTTTTTGCATGAGATAGACGAATGTACAAAAGGTGTACACATTTTTGTGTACACCAACAGGGACGGATTCAGGATTTCGAGTCAAGGGGGGCGAAATTTAAGGTGTACACATTTTTGTGTACACCAACAGGGACGGATTCAGGATTTCGAGTCAAGGGGGGCGAAATTTTTCGTTAGTGTAGGGGGTGAAATTTTTTTCGCTAGCATATCAAGGCGCATTTTTTTCCCTAGTGTAGAGGGGGGAATTTTTTCCGCTAGTGTGAGGCTATGCAGCTATTTTCATTCAAAAATTACATTAATACATAATCAATGACATTTAAATCTATTACATTCTAAGTTTAGACAATGGCAAGACATCAACCAATACATTTTAAATAACTTCTACATTGTTTAACCTCATGAATCGGTTTTTGAATCGTAATTTTTATCAACCAATTGGAGGGTGTTCATGAGTCATGAGTCATGAAAACTTTTAATTCATATATATATATATATATATGAATTATATATTATTTTCAGAATAATATTATATCTCTAATTCATATATATATATATATATATATATATATATGGTGCATATTATATTTGTATTAATGCTAAAATAATTTAAAGTTTATTATATATGCAATAATTATTTTTAGAAAGCAAGAAATAAATGATTTATGTAATTTAATGTCAATAAACATTTATATTTTGGATTCATTTCATGTGATCTAAAAACTGTGTAATTAGTGTGTCTGATATTTAATATCGCTTGATATATATTTTATAAAATCGAGTACTTGTTATTTGTTAAAGATAATTAAACATTACAAAACTAGGAATTTCTATATAATAAGTATCCTAAGTCTTAAACAATGAGTTGCTCTATCGTTTATTTGTTTAAGTTATGTAAATTATTTAAGATGTTCCTTCTTTTTTTTGAAAGGTGATGTTCTTTGTTTTAAATCTCCAATTAAGTATTATCTCCGTCCAGTGGCGGATCTGGGCCTAGGCCAGGGCGAGCCTAGGCCCACACTAAAAAAAATTACTAGTATATATAGGTGTTATATTATATATATTGTTGTTAAGTAATGATATAATTACAAAGAATGTCAATTTGAACACATATGTTGTGTTAGCAACATGGAAGGAGACCTGCACCAACTTATACGTGCCAAGTTCGAATATCATGTTGAGCATGATTTTGTTTACTTTTCAATGGTATTAGAGTGAAAATTTCATTTTTCTTCTAAAATCTATGTCCCACACCTATTATATTTATTTTTCTTTGACATTGAAGTTGCAACATATTTTATTATACTACTCCCTCCGTCACTTAAAACTTTGTTAACTTTCTTTTTTTGGATGTCCATCTAACTTTACAACTTTCCCTTTTAAGTACAGAATCTGTGGTTCCAGTTAATTCACGCTCCTCTGAACAAATCTCTACCATACAGTTTTTTATTTTATTAATCTCCGTAAATTCAAACATGACAGTTTTTTAAGGGACGGAGGTAGTATTTTACTACATTTTGTCTTTTTTTTGCAATACGCGTTATTTAATTAAAATTTGGCCCCACCTGAATGGCAATGCTAGATCCGCCCCTGCCTCCGTCCCTTTTATATTGGAACGGAAGAGACTGACACGAGTTTTAAGAAAAGTGTATTTGTGTGGTTGATATCTATTACTATCTAAAAGCAAAAGATTTTTTTTGGGTAGAAACTCTCTCTCAAAAACATCAGCATCGAGTGAGTCAACATGCTAAATTGCAAAGAAATATAAAATGGTGAAAAGTAGATGTATGTTATGCATAAGTTTTAATTTGTGAATAGTGTTTTGGATGAGGATTCGCACGCCACTATTGCATTCTTTCAATTCCTATTGGAGAAAAAAAAAAGTAAGAAGCCAAATCAATTTATTCTACCTCCCGTCCCACTAAGATTGGGAATGGAGAAATTAGCACGATTATTAAGAAAAGTGAGTTTGTATGGTTGATATTAAATTGATAAAGTAAGAATGAAATAAGAATGATTTAGAGTTACACAATATTTACCAAATTTGGTATGAGACAATCTTAGTAGAAGTTCCCGAAAAGGTAAGATGAGACAATGTTAGCAGGGCGGAGGAGTACTTCGTCAAGAAAAACCCACTTCTTCTATCTGAATGCAGACGACAATAAAATCGACGAAAATGTGTTGGGGATTTGAATCCAATTCAAAATTGTTAAACTAAACAAAAGATAGAGATCTGGATCAGAAATCTGGATCAGAAATGTACAGGGAGAACATTAGGGTGACGTACAACTTCTTGATGGTAAGGAAGAAGAGTGTATGGGTATGGGGGGTATGCTCTCGGTTGAAGACGGGGGGGGGGGGGGGTCAATAGAGGGATAGAGAGGAGGTGTGAAAGGTGGAGAAGAATCATTTTAGAAATGGATGAAGGGGGAGGGGTGCCCCGATGATTAAAAAAGTCTACCGAAAACAATAAAATTTATAAATAGGATTATCATTAGTTTATTTATAAAATTACTCATTTATTATTATTTTGGAAATTTTAATCAATTTATTTTTTAATAGGATTGAATAAGGCTATTTGGAGAATAAAATAAACTACCTACATCCTGAAAAAAAAGTTCTTGCTTTTCTATTATGGATGTCAAAAAAATAAGTTTCTATTTTTATAAAAGAAAACTACTTTTAACTCAAAAAACACAATTACCCTTCAATTTCACTTTTTGCTTGATTTGGCATAGAGTAAAGGTATATTTAATTGAAAATTCTCCACAAAAATCCACCTTACATTAATATGTCTTTAAGTCAAATCGGGAACTTCATTTCGGATATTGAATCTTATTTTTGCACTTTGAATACTCCATATGTTCCAATTCTATATTAAGCAATTTGTATAAACAGTATATATGGAGTATATTTTATACTCAAAGTTCGTAAAACGTAGTACATAAAGGTTTTATTCTCTTGAGCACAATTCTATAGTATCTACCGTTTAGAAGTGAGTATAATTAAGAAATTTAAAAACGTTTAGTTAAGCAAACTAATACGATGTAATTGTTATTTTGTAGATAAGAATAATACAGAGAAGGAGGAGCTATAAATAAAGTAGCTTTTATTGAAAAAGTAACTTCCAAACTCAATTTTTAATTGTGACTTTGTGATTAAAAAAGTGATACATTGTTTTAATTTTTTGGTTATCTAGAGAGGGTTGGTGATATCATGATTAATGCTGTTGAGTGTTACAAGGTTTTCAAAAAAATAATTTGAATTTTCATTTGCACACATGATTTATTTTACACAGAGAGTTGTCTCATTTTACTCCATATTCTACAATTTTCTCACTTCATAACGCTTTATAATAAAAATTATTAATAGCTATTGAAGAAAATATCTCAAATCGTGCATCCTTACACCGTGCATCACACGGGTGAGTTACTAGTTAATTGATAAAGTAAGAATAAAGTAAGAATGATTTTAAGTTACAGAAACTTTACCAAAGAAGGTATGCGACAATTAAATAGGAACATCCCAATATAGTAAAACGGGACATTTAAAAGGGGACGAATGGAGTATTACATTATGGAAGACTATATATTAATTTTGAAAATTAGAAATAAGGGGGCGAATCTAATTAAATTATGAAAATTTTATCAAAATATTATATATATAGTAGAAAATTTTGAAAGTCCTTCTACACCAAGCACCGCCCTTAGATAATATGGTGTAATTTGCAGGGTAGTTTGCTAAAAATTCCGTAATACGTGGTACTCCTTGTGACATTACCGAGGCGGGGGCACTTTCGTCACCACAAGAGCAGTTGGTTGCAGAAAAAGAGAGAGCGACAGAGCGTGAGACCGGTGGTTAAGGAGAAAGAGTGAGAGTTTGAGTGAGAGAGATTTCCGTGAAATGGCGAGAAGACCGGATGAAGAGTACGATTATTTGTTCAAAGTTGTGCTGATCGGAGATTCAGGAGTAGGCAAATCTAACCTGCTCTCCCGATTCACCAGAAACGAGTTCTGTCTAGAGTCCAAGTCAACCATCGGCGTTGAATTCGCCACTCGTACTCTTGAGGTCATTCCCTTTTCTTCTTTGTGCTATTTATCCTCCCCAATTGATAGCATTCCCTTCAAATTCAACCAGTATCTATTGCACTTGCGTAGTTGCGTACAATGGTTGCTCAGTTCTGGGTTTTGCACTTTTTTAGATCTGTGATTCTTAGTGTTTCGCGCATGTTAATGTATGTATTCGTCAATGTGATTTCCATTTTTTCGTACTCCGTATTTAGGATCTGAATAGCCATTTGATTGGTACTGTTCGGCTGGATCTTCTCTGTACTGGCATTTTAACGGTTTAGCATCACAACTTTGTAGCATCTATTGTGTTTTGGTCTATCAGTAGGAATTGATCTGTGTTCGGTGTACCATAAGTACAGATGTTGAAATTGATTAACCAGTTATTCTCATTTTGTTAATAAAATGACTAAATGAGCGTGACGAGTGAATCAAATTAACACATTTACACTCATTTTCTGACTTTAAAGTATTGAATCATCAATTTCACAATTCATACACATATGCATGGATAGTGAAATTGATGATTCTATACTTCTCATTAAGAATATAACAAGTATATAACTGGGCTGGATCATACTACGGCGATGGATTGGGCCAGATTTGTAACTTTCTCTCAGTATGGAAAAGCTCTCAATTTTGTAATTTATCACTTGCACTATCCGTGTTTAATCTAATCTTTTCAACCTTTTCACAAACGCCAAATGAAAAAAAAACGTACAACATATTGCCTGTTGTTAATCAGCATGGGTTATCCCTCAAAAAAAAAAAAAAAAAATCAGCATGGGTTACTTGGAGACATAGAATCAGGGTTTTGGAAGGTCATGGAGAAATGACTTGACGGGCAAAATCTAAATCTTGATAAATATGTACTCCGTATAAGTTTTTTTTAAAACTAGTGAATAGTCATGATAAGGTGATTCAGATGTTTGTATGCTCACCTTTTTTTTTACTTCGTCAATTTGTGTAAAATCTCACATATAGGCCAGCATATAAACTTAGCCTCTGGGGCGTAGCTAGGTCAAATTGAGGGTCCTGGGAATGCCATCTATACTCGTCTCTTTCAAAACTATTCATTGACCTCTATCCAATGGAGGGCTTGGATGGTCTATTAGGTGAATGCTTTTCGAGCTTATTCCACATCTTGATATATATGTAGTATATCTGAGACTTCATAAATTTGAAATATTAACAAAATACGCGATTGTATGACATTCCGATCACCTCTTATTTGCCCTAAAGCTTTCTACATATATAGACTAAGCCCTCCAAAGCCCTCAATCCAAACGGGGTTGATGGTTGAGAATCTCAATGTTGTTCATAAGATGATAGAACCTGGAGGCTGGAGGAGTCATTTATCAGGAATAACAGCTATTTGATCGGTCTGCAGTTAGTATATTTGTTCTTATTAGTTTGGAATTAGATTAGATCCCTCTCGACATTTATGATTAATAGTGTTTTGCTATGTATAGGTTGAGGGGAGGACGGTGAAGGCTCAGATATGGGACACTGCCGGACAGGAGAGGTATCGAGCCATAACTAGCGCATACTATAGGGGTGCACTTGGGGCTCTATTAGTGTATGACGTGACAAAACCAACAACCTTTGAAAATGTGAGCCGTTGGTTGAAGGAACTCAGAGATCATGCAGACTCAAACATTGTGATCACGTTGATTGGGAATAAGGCCGATCTAGCCCATCTCCGTGCAGTGACTACGGAGGATTCTCAAAGCTATGCCGAAAAGGAAGGCCTCTCTTTCATTGAAACGTCTGCTTTGGAGGCAACTAATGTAGAGAAGGCATTCCACACCATTCTTTCAGAAATCTATCGGACTATTAGTAAGAAGTCACTTTCTTCAGAGGAGCCAGCAATTGGGGTTAGTATTAAAGGAGGGAAGACTCTCGATGTTAGTGCCCAAGATTCTAACACCAAAAAACCTTGCTGCTCTACGGCTTGATAATTGTCATTGGTCGCTCTTTTTCTCCCATTCACACTGATGGCTTGATCTCTTATGGGTTTTTACTATTTCTGCTGTATTATTAATGTTATTCTATTATTATTATTATTATATCATATTGCTATTATTGTTAAGTTTCTTCTTTTTGAGTTGAGTGCTATTTGAGGCTTTAATATCCGATATATTTTGTGGCATGTATACTTGTACATTGCAGGCTTTGCAGTTACCTGACTACTTATTTTATTTTATCAAGTATTACCTCTGTAACATACTAACATACATATTTTATTGAGGGTATGATAGAGAGATAATGAAATAATAATATGTTGGAATGAAGGATAAATCCAAAAAGGGTACTCCCTCCGTCCCATTTTACCTGTCTTACTTTCCTTTTTGAGTTGTCCCAAAATAAGTGTTTCTTTTCCTTTTTTGGAAAGAAATATGTGGTCTACACCATTTCACTTTATCATACTCAAATCTCAACCACAGCTTTTACTTTTTCAACCACTTCATTAATAACCGTGCCAAGTCAAACTAAGACACATAAAATGGGACGTAGGTAGTAGTTGTAACTTGTAACTTGTAATAATGTATTATTTTCAAAATTATTGAGGGTATGATAGGAAGATTTAGAAATGAGATGATATGAATGTTACGGGAGATTTGGTATAACTTGGATTGATTTGAGAGATTTGGCTGCATCGAGAAATTTGTATGGGATGACAACACTACTACCAAGTAGGCCTGGACTCGGGCCGGTTCGGGCCCGGTTCGGGCCTGGGCCCGGCCGGGCCTCGGGCCAGGAAATGGGAGGCCCGGGCCCGAACCGCCGGTGGCCGGTTCCGGTCCCGGTTCCGGGCCGGGCCGGGCCGAACCGGCCCACTTAATTTTTTTTTGTTCTCCTATTTAATCCCCTACCCCTCCCCCTCAACCCCAAACCACCCCAAACCACCTCAAATGGCCCAAAATACCTATTCCAACCCAAAACTTTAAAAAAATTTCAAAAAAAAAAAAAAAAATTAAAATCCGGCCCGGACCGGGCCCGAACCGGCCGGGCCGGTTCACCATTTGGAAGGCCCGGGCCCGGGCCCGGAACCGGGAACCACCGGGCCGGTTCGACCCGAACCGCCGGTGGACCGGGCCACCGGGCCGGGCCGGTTGCTACAGTGGCCGGGCCGGGCCGGTTCCGGGTCGAGCCGCCCGGCCCGAGTCCAGGCCTACTACCAAGTACCAACATAGTTGTCAAAGGCCAACTCCAATGAGAGCGGAGTGAACCTGACGTTTTGAAACGGAAAAATTGGAGTACCTCAATTTGATGGGGAAGTGGGTGGTGGCGGTGAGCGAAATAACGGTGGTGGTTGCAGTGATTACCATGATGAGATAATCACGAAAAAAAATTGAATGATTAACTCTTTAGAGAATAGTTCTTGATATCATGTAAAATTATGAGCCGAAAGATATATTCAACATAATAAAATGATTTACACACTATACGTGTGTACCCACACACACATAAAGCTACGCATCTAAGAGATGAGAATTCATCTCAAACTACATGCACACTAATAGGGATATGAATGGCTAACTATATGTAGTTCTATTTTTTTTAGATGAAATGTAAATATATATTAACACCTAGAAAAACTATACATCACATATCCTAGATCTCCTAATACCTCCCCCACCCCCACATAAAGTGAGGGTGAAAGGAGGTTTTTATTCAATCTATTCTATGCCAAAATAACCAGGTATACAACCTGACCCATCAAGAGGTTCAAAAAATACATCGGTGCTGCACAAGCGCACACACACAGATCAGAGGCTAAAAATCAAAACAAAGTACAAAGGTGTTGCAAGATGCACACACCCTAAAATCCAAGACCATGCTCCATGCCGTGGCATCCATGATGTCCATGGCGTGGTGTCCTGAGTGCCCTAGCCGCGGCATCCAAGATAACCATGGCTCGGCGCACCAAACATTCATGTAGCAGTCTATCTATACCGCGGCATCCATAATATCCATGACGCGGCCTTCACCTCAGAACTTGATCAACTCTTGTGGATAGATACTAAAGAGTATCCTATAAAGCACAATCTTGATCTTAGCAACGATGTCTTCCTCATTCTTTGTCACTTCATCAAACCTAGCCTCATTCCTTGATCTCCAGATGTAGTATACTGAGGCACATAATGCCAATCTCACCGCTTTGCCCTTCAGCTTCGAGCCCTTGTGCGTATTTAGTACCCACTTGACCGAGCTCGCTAGCGTAGTCATTCGGTGGCCAAGTCCCATCCAGTCTCTAACTCGTTGCCATACCCTACATGTAAAAGGGCATTGAAAGAACAGGTGTGCTATTGTTTCCAAACCACCCTTGCATAGGTCACATCTATTCACAATATGCAGATAACCGAGGCTATCCTGAGTAGAAAGCCGGTTTCGTAGGGCCAACCATACATTGAATGAGAATTTTGGGGGGATATAGGACTTCCAAGTGAAGCTCATCGTAGTCCTAGTCTCACCCTTAATCCTTAATAGCTCATACACCTTGGCCGAGATTAATTTCCCATTGATGGCCCTCGAATTGAGGCCCAAGATGGTGTCATTCAGATTATTAAAACACCCTCTTAGTTTGTCCCGAATGAGTCTCATCCGCTTCATGAGTTGAGAGTCTCGGTTGTGTGGGATAAAATCCCACACACTTCTACCCTTAAGATAGACACCGTTAACCCACTTTACCCATAAGGTGTCCTTTTTATTATGCACGTCCCAAATAACTCGTGAGAGGAGGGCGTTGACGGGCACTTTGTCACGGTGCGTCAAAATAAATTCAATACTAGCACTAATACGTAGTATAGTGAAGTAGAGTTCGTATCCACGGGGAAAGGAATAATTCTCTTTTTATGAACTAGTAAATAAAAGGGGGGTATGGTATTGTTGGAATTTAATTAATTAAATACTAAGATGAAGGACTTAAATGAGATTTAATTCGAAGATAAAAAGGACTTGGCATTGCTACTTTCCACTTGTTGATATATTTTAGTCGATCATTGTTATATCTATAACTTATCCCCTCTCGAATACTCAATCGAGGAGTATATCCAATTCATCGAGGGTAGTTATTAACAACGACCGTTCATTAATAACCCTTACTATTAGTCATGTATAGAACACCGCCATATACCGACTTGATAGTAGCATTTAATCTCTTAACTCCTTGATGAAATCAATTGAGATTGATAACCTCAACACAACGGTTTCGGTTTAACCAACAAAATTAATCCCTCTTAAGTTTATTAACCACGACCGTGCATTAATAAACCGAAGTTACTTACTTGTGAAACCATCAACGATTAACCATCGGTTCGTTGAACGTTTCTAGTAGTAATTAATGTCAAGATGTTATCTAATTGTCATATTAGTAACACTCCCCAACATTAATATATAGAGGAAGAAAATAAATACTACTATAACTAATGTTGAGATGTTAAATAATTGTCATCTTAGGAACACTCCCCAACATTAATATATAGATAGATTAAGAGAATAATTAATATTCAAGGGAAGAAGTTAAGAAAATAACTCACAACTTTAATAATCAACAAGCTTCAAGAGCAACACCAAGAAATGGAAGTTTAGCTCCTCATTTGGAGACTAAACATGCTATAAAAATATAAAAGAAATACTATTCTAAGTTGAGCTTAAGAGTATGGAAGAAGGAGTGATCAAAAGTGAAGGAAAATGGGGCTATTTATAGGTGTTTTCAACACCTTTGGCCGGGTACCCGACCGGGTCAAGTGCCCACCCGACCGGGTGCATGTCAAAATCAAATAATCTGCCATGTTCTCATGCTTCTGCACGTCGTTTGGTCCCGGGTCATGTCTGACCCGACCGGGTGACATATTAGACCCGACCGGGTCTGACAATTTCTTTGTTTCTTCGGTTGTTAAATCTTGCCCGACCGGGTTTCGCTCCTGGGCAGTCAAATTTCTTGTTTTCTTCTCTTCAAAGTCCTCTTTTCCAACACCATAAATCCTAAATCTACTTTACAACTTATAAATGAAGATTAAAATACAATTACAACTAAAATCACACAAATGTTTACAAACTAAATAAAACGATAAACAATACACACAAATCAAACATAAAAACATACACTTATGCACTACTAATTAGTGCATATCAGGCGTGATTCCAAATTTTTGCATTATGGATCCCTAGCCCACCCTCCGTTTTTGGTAAGCAAATATCATCCCATGCAACTTTCGCGAATTTCCCACTCCACAAAAAAATCCTACAAATGGACACAATCCTGTCCAAAATTGTTTGGGGAACCGAAAAGACTTGGAGCCAAAACGATTGAACCCCTTGGATTACCGATCGAATTAGCTCAATCTTCCCGGCATAGGATATTGTCTTTGTGTTCCAAGTGTTAAGGAAATCTTGAATTATGGAAATCAATGGTGCATATTGTGCAACCGAGACTTTTAAGGGGGCAAGGGGAATCCCAAGGTATCGAACCGGGAAGGTACCTTGCCCATAGTCTACAAGGTCCAAGATATTTTGCAATTCCAAGTCCCTCACCCCACCAACAAAAATGTTGGATTGGTCATGGTTTACCCTTAGCCCAGATACATCCCCAAACTCTTTGAGAGCATTGACTAATATTCGTATAGAATATGTGTCACCTCTCGAGAAGAGGATTAGATCATCCGCATAGGCTAGGTGTGTAATACCAAGTGACGCGCATTGGGGATGGAAATTAAAACTCCCTTCATTGGTTCTCAAAGTGAGTAACCGGGAGAAATACTCAAGGCATATCACGAAAAGCAGAGGGGACATTGGATCTCCTTGCCGTATGCCCCGCTTACCATTAAAAAAGCCATACAAAGAACCATTCAGCTAACTATATGTAGTTCTATATATGTATTACTAGTATATTGTAACACCCCTAAATTTATACCCAAAATAGATGCTAATTATATCAAGGATAGAAAGAATTTCTCAAAACATTTAAGTCCAAGGTTTAATTGATAGATTTAGATTAATTCAAACAACAACTATATTATTTGCTTATATTTTTAATTTGATTGGTTGGTGTGTAGTGTTTTAGATTAAAATTCATTCCCTGCTTTTTCTTATGCTTTTATACAATCTGGGTTTCACAAACTGAATTAAAAACAGACTTGGTTTGGGAAAAAAGGTCATCTTTTTCATTTTGATGTTATTTTAAGTTTTTGTCTTGAAGCATTTTGTGATTTATGTTTCTTATTAGCTCAAATGAAATGGTAATAATGGTTTATTCAAAATTGAAGTATACAATATACATGAGCCCCTTATTTATCTT